AAGATATATGGAAGTTGGAGGATATAAATATCTGAATACAATGTACATTTTACTTAAGTCAATGATCAAATCGCTCTATATTCTAAGATAAAGGATTTATCGAACATAAAAAATACAAGTTGGTCGGCTTGAATATTGCGTGCTTGATCAACTAACCCATTCACTATGTACAGCTTCTCGTGTATTAAAAAATGTATAAATTACAACAATTAATTATTTTTTTAAAAATAACAAAAGTTGAAGATTGTACATGTGTGCCTTGTTCTTGTATTAATTAATTCAGGTAATCAATTAAGCGTGAATGTCCATAGATGAGGCATGTCCCCCTCCCGTTTACGATGATCGAAGAATATTAAGAATGTTTTACCCGTTCTCTTACTAAATCTGTTGTTATTTTTAACATGCGTGTTTTAACCAATTCTAAAATGCAACTAGCATTTAATTTGATTAAAATAAATCATAATGTGTGCATGTACTTTCTCAGGAAGGTAACAGTGAAGCTTAGTATATGCCTTATATTCTATGTCTAGTATACGTGTCACTTGTGGGATTCATATATATTCTGGTATTGTGGTTTGTTATTCGGCTCATATACAATGCTCGGTTCAAAATAAATTCATGATTAACTTCATCATGTTCATACATATAAATTGCAGATTTTTTTTTATTTAACAAGATTTAAATATTCATACATTGTATACTTTATTGGGTGGGGATGGGTGTTACATTCTGATTCACTGAATGGTATGCAGACGCATTTAGTTACGAAAATAATTCTAAATATATTTATTTTCAATTTAAACATAAATATAAAATAGGAAAGGGAAGGCCAGGAAAAATGAATCAAATTAAAAAATTACCAAGAAATAATGATTGGACACTTTAAAATTTGATGCACCTAATCTTTATTGATTTGATTTAAACATGCATTTATTGAATTAAACAAACGCATTGGAAACAAGTTTGACAACTTCAAGTTCTTCTTGTGAATGAAAGACTGATTTCATAACGACATCCGAAGAAGAAAAGGATCAAACTATACTACAAGAGACAAATACAATTTATTCTTTGGTGCAGTATATCTTTTCAATAAGCCAAAAAGTCTTCAATATTAAAACATTCGAAACTAAAACATGTAAATAGTTAACTTGTGGTAAAAGAAATGTTATTTTTCCCTTAGATAGAAAAAAAACCTGTCGCACTCTTTAAAATTTCAGGTACTATGACAATACTTTGTATCTATTCTGTGTATTGTATAGACTTTCAATGCCCGGGGGGGGGGGTGTTAAGGGCTGTCTCGAACTTTTTTTAAGGCAATACTTTGATAGTGTAACAGAGAAAATTACGTGCCTCTGCTTAATTGGGAACGAACCCGAGGCCTCTGTGCTTTACCGAATAAGCTTAAGGTTATCCCGCTAGCGTAAGCTAGTAGGAAGCCGTACGTGTGTCGTCTGTACTACCACAATAGAATTTTTTTATCCAAATGTTGCTTATTGTCCCCCGCTTGAAAAGTGGGGGATATTAATTTGGGTTTGTCCGTCCGTCCGTCTGTCCGTCCGTCCGTCTTTCTGTCTGTCTGTAACGCTTTCGTTTCCACACGATATCTCGAGAACCCTTTGAGCTTTTGCAATGAAATTTAGCATAGCAACTCCCTATGGACTAAAGAAGACCCCTATTGATTTTGAGGTCAAAAGGTCAAAGGTCAAGGTCATAAATAAGCAAATTCTGTCTGTTAAAACACTTTCGTTTCCACACGATATCTCTAGAACCATTTGAGCTATTGCAATGAAATTTTACATAACAACTCCCTGTGGCCTAAAGAAGACCCCTATTGATTTTGAGGTCAAAAGGTCAAAGTTCAAGGTCGTAAATTTATACATTCTGTCTGTGTGTAACACTATCATTTCCGGGCGATATTTCAAGAAGATTTTGAGCTGATGCAATGTAATTTTATACCAAAACTCCCTAGGACGTCTCTCGCCCCTCTCAAAGTGCCCCGCCCCGTTTGTTTTATTAGTATTTATAGTATTACATGTCGCTATTTTTAGTGCAGGGGCATGAGGAGAGTTATTGCGTATAAAACAGGTTCTCGGCGGACTTTATGTTCTTATTACATCTATTAGAACTGTTTAATAAAGGCTAAATAAATCAAACACCATGGATTGTGTAAAATTTTGAGAATACCGAACATGAAAACATGAATATATACATGTATGTGACTTCAGTTCTGCATATACTTCACTCCGAGTAAAGCGACTCCGTGGTCTAGTAGTTATGTCTCTCGCTTCAAATGTGAGAGGCCCCGGGATCGAATCTCGGTCGGACCTTTCTTTTTTTTTTCTTTTTTTTTTTTTTTTTTTTTTTTTTTTTTTAATAAATGATAGTATTAAGCATTTGAAATGAAAAATTTATGAGGTTATAAAATCATCATTACAGTGTGATAAATATTCCATATGAAAAAAATCTTCTATACACATAATAAGGAATAAGCAAAAAAAAATCTTTATATGCATATTGACATACATGTATTTTATTTCCTTCAGTATACATGTATACATTTAATAATTCTACAAATTGTCAGGGGGAGCCGACTTTTTCCCTAAGCGGGGGACACGAATTCTCTGAATTAGCTTGTTTTCTTTTACTATTGCAGTGATGTAGATTTCTGCCATTTTACTGTATCAAAACGCCATAAACTGGAAGATCTCCCAGAGGAAGAGAAGATTTTTGATTTTGTCTTGAGTTTTGTTTTTTTCCCCTTGACGATCATTTCGGTCCCCCCCCCCCGTCTTTTCTTTCTCAAAGATATAGTTTATAATGTTTATTTTCTATTATTACAATGAAAAAATCTTAATTGTTGATACTTTTAAGGAAATCAAATATAAAGGTTAATAATAATGAATATCATCAAATTATTATATAGCTTTACGTCATTTTACGATTTTACGTTATGAAAATTTATGCAGTTAGGCACGCTTACATTGTACGTCAAAGTAAATATTCCGTCTTTGTCATGCAATCTTTTATACATTTATATACAGAAATATATGTCATGTTATACATCAAATGAAAGAGAAAGAAAAACTCTACAAGAATCAATAAAAAACTGAAAATGTCAAAATTCTTCGTTAAGGGAGGATTTTGCTTGGCGCGTCACATATTGATAAAATAAACTTCACTATTATTCGTCATTTTATTTTTTTCACATAAATTTGCATCTACAATGTCAAAGAGTTGTCTTGGTACAGGTCCACTATATGATAATGCATAAATATTTTCCCATGCACATACATTTAAAATAATTTGTCAGAACTTTTTTTTCAAATCATTCGACCAAACTGTTTATAATCCTAGCTCTCTGATTTTCCAAGATCTAACATTGTGGAAAAAAAATCAGGTTATGTTCACCTGCATGTGATCTTCCTGGTGAAAATTACGATCATTTACCTCTTGCTACGTTAGACGAAAAGTAGATCGGGAAAATCCAAACTGATTATAACATTTTGGAAATGTATTTTATTTACACTCGATTAACACTCAGGTGAACAAATATTGTAATTACAATCATGCACTTAAAAAAAAACAAATACGGGAGGGGGGGGCATGGGGGCCCCTCTCCGCATTTTTTTCTGAATGTCAATTTTGATTGTTAACATTAGCAAGCAATGATGCCCGGGGGTGGGGTTAGAATAAATTGACAAGCAATTAGATAAATAATGTATGTGTGCATGCATGCCTAATATGGTACTTTTGAGAACTTCCGAAATTCTGTAAAAACATATACATGTATGTATATGCTTTATTTTTTTTGGTGGGAGGGTTGTGTGGGTGTTAAAACAGTATTAACAGTTATCGATCTTTCCAACACATAACAAATTTAAAACAGGAGAATGTCGGATATACGTCTATTCAATTAATTTAGCTTTGTTAGCTGAACCTCCAATAGTAATTTTGGCGAGCGCTCGCGAACGTTCGCTCTGCTGAACAGGCCTCAGCTGGTGTCACTTTTCTTCCAAGAAGTTCTGGGTCAACAATAAATGAAAAAATACCACGGATTTAGATCTGACATTGGTGTGGTTTAACAATACTGTCATTCAGTTTTGATTAGTGTTAATTCCTGTGCAGTTTTCTTGACATGTGATTAAGTCAAATCAATTTTCGTCGGATTAAAAAAAATATTTCAAACTACTCTTCCTTCTTTTTTAAAAATATTTTTACACTCAATAACATCATTGCATGTAATTATTTTATGTCGTTGTTGAATAAGAAAATTCGTAAAACTGAATTTTAAAAAACATTTGCATGTTTAATTTAGTTTAACTGAAAACTTATATTGACTGTACATGGAACAGAATAATTGTCAAAGTGTTGACAAATTTTATGTATTTAATCAGAACACTCTTAGGTCGTTTTAATGTGTAATGCACATGTAATTTGACAACAATGAGTGTCAGATATGTTATGAAATAGACAATAGTCATGAAAGAAAATACACAGAAAGCACAACGGAGAAAATTCTGTGACGTAAAACAAAGCATGTAGTTGGAAGCAGTCAGTGTGCGATATATTTTGATCGCAGTTTTTGTTGAAAAACAATGACGTCGCTTTTTCTATTGTGATGTAAAATTCTGTCAGATTACATAAGGGGGGTTTTTGCTTGGAACGGCTCATTTGAAAGATTGAACAAATAAATGAATAATTTCTAGACTTTATAATATGTATCTAAAGACTGGTATTTAGGTCTCCGTATCATGATATGTATCACGCAACAAAAAATCGCAATATACCGGTATACCGATAAAATCGCACATCCCTAGTGTGTGTTAGTTTCAACACCAGGGTAGAAGAAAAAACTGAAATAACCAAATTAAAAAAAATGCATGACATATTGATACAGTATCTGTTTGTTAATTAGCAGATTTTCTTTGATTATAGATTGTTGTGTTTTAACATAGCATTTTAGCCATAAGTTTATTTCAGATGAACACTCTCCCCCTTACTATAACTGGTGATGGTTTGTCCTTCACTTTTTCTTTGTTCAAGGCTTTTCTCAGGTGAAGAGCTTTCTTATAAATATCCTGTAAAATAGATAAATCAAGGTTAAAGTCCTGTTAGATTGAATATGAGGTCTGTCCTACATGTCCTATCATGGAAATACTGTAAATGTATCATATTTAGCATGTATGATATTTGGCGGAAATTGACTTTAAAATTTGAATAAGTTAGTGTAGATTTGATATAGCGCATTTCTTCATTTTCTTCTTTATGTGTATATCTGCGAGACATTTAGCGTTGTACTTGATTTAGCCGTTGCTGCATTCCGCCAAAGACGCTAAAAAGAATACACAGCCAAATGTAATATGTTTACAGTATATGCATCCTCACAATGTCAGGGGTTCTGAATAAAAATCTTGTCATTGGACCCCTGTCAAATTTCATTCAGCATTCTTTGGGCTGACCATGCTGACTGCAGTGATCTCTTTTGGGGATAAAATACAAAATCTTGATCATAGCTTTGTTTTATCTTATCCCTCAAATGACAAATGAGATTTAATTCTTTCATTGACAAAAACATTAACATGTCATATATGTTCAGTTGCTTGCTTTTTGTTTATGTCTTATATCAACTGATGGAAGCTCTAATAAAGTGAAAATGGGAAGCATGCAATGCAGGCTTTCCCCCTGTAGAATATGAGTATTTTTAGGAACAAAGCAATTTGCAAGCAGCACCTACCAAAATAAGTTGTTCAGATAAATTAATAATTACTTAGATAAAATATTTTGTTGAACCAGTTTTTTCTTCCTCTGTCTTGATTTATTTGTAACGGGAGATGAGAAAAATGCAGGGTACCAGGCTGAGATTTGAACCCAGGCCCCCTGAATTTCCAGTCAAGTGCTCTACCAACTGACCTATCTGGCCAATGGAGATTGAACATGTCTGACCACAACACATGTTTACTTAACAAATTAACACACATAACAGGAAGGAGAAAATGTATGGCTTGACCAGGAATCGAACCCAGTACCCCTGCATCACTAGTCAGGTGCTATAGCTATCCAGGTCAATTTTCATGGCCCATACCACACAAGATCCACAGGTTTCAGAACTGTTGGGTGAAGAAATTCTTGTAAATGACAATAAATTGTAATACCTCAGCCTTGTGAAATTCCTGTAAGTGATACAGCGCGTTGCCATAGTAGACGATACACTGATATTTCTGTGGGAGATTCATCAACTCCACCTCCGGATTGTTGTCACACAGCGTCAGTGCTATTGAAGCCTACAAATATTCGTTTTGTACAGTTTATATACCATCATAGAAAATTTTTCGAGAGCAACATAAACCAAAGCTCCCTGGACTATGAAAATAAAAAACAAAATACGACAACAGCTTCATTATCTGCAATAATAAAAAAAACAATGTAAAAGCCTGCATTTTTTTTAAAAATCTTAATCATGTTAATTTGTTAATCACTGTTCTAAAATCTGCCAACCCACCTCTGGTACCCATATCTCTTATTTAAAGTTATTTTACACATAAACAAATAAAAACCTTATAAATTCACAAAAAATTACCAAATGCTTTAAATCATTGTGAAGTTCACAATCATGAAGTTGTTTAACATGTTCAAATAAATTCATATTTGTAAATTTTCTAGCCGACTCGACAAACTTGTGTTCAGTGTTGTGGAATTATGAATATGTGGAATATTGAACCCGATGTAAAAAGCTATTCTCAGACTGATTCTTCATAACACACGCGAAACATTGTCACCGCGCGTTAGAATACAATACAAAGTAGGAACTATATATGTATTTTCATTCTGTAGAAACACCAAAATGTACATGTTTATATTTCAATTTAATGAAAAACTATAACCCTGATAAATTAATGTAAAAATACCACAAACTAATAAATATCAGCCCTGTACTATTCATGTAACAAAAGTTACAAATAAAAATCTTATAAATAAACTTTAAATGCTTTAAATCATTGTGATAGTTCACAACACAGTTCCCAAAATGTTAAATACCCAAGTGACCAATATATAAGATTCGACAACTTGTGTTTTTTGGACAAAATAAAATTGCAAACATGCCATAACTTATTATTTTTCTTTAACACAGGAACATTGTCACCGCGCATTGTTGTTAATATAGTAATATTATATGCATTTTCATTTTCTCTCCAAAATGTACATGTTTATATTTAAATTTAATGAAAAATATAACCCTGATAAATTAATGTGATTTTAAGAGACCTACCTTAAATGCGATCTTTTTTATTTTAGTGCTAGACCCCCCCCCCCCCCCCCCCCCCCCCGCCCCCACCCCCAAACAATAGTTGATTAAAAAATTTGCATGATTGATGATTCTGTTTAGAATTGTCAACATAAACATGATAAAAATATCTCACTATATTCCTTTCAAAAGATTAAAACCATTTTCAAGGTATATATATGTTAAAAATGTTTAATAATTTTTTATTGAAATAAAACCTCAAAATTTACATATAATAATAGTTAATCTGTAAAATGTAATTTAAAATTGTCAATTGAAATAACTTTACAAGTAATATTGATAAATGATGTTCTGTTAGAAAATAATAATTGTGTTGCCAAAAGAAAGGCAGTTTGTTGTATTTTGTTCATACAATATCTGAAAACTTATAAATATTGATGAAGGAAGTACAAAGGGCAGTACAGCCACCTGACGCGTCTAATTTTTGGAATATGTGCCATTTGGCGTCTGCAATTTGGTAAATGCAAGTTGTTGTTTTCATCGACTGTAAAATTACCATGACGTCTAGATTAATAGGCAATATTGTATCATGTGTACAGAAAATTAAGGTAATCAAGGGAATTTTTGTAAGTACAAAAGAGCCACTTGGCTAGGGAACAGTAACAGAGTTATGCAACTGGTAAGCGGTAAGACACCAGGCAGGTGTCAACGTAAAAGGTTGCCAGTATATATAAGGTCAAGAGGTACCAGGCAGGTGGCTGTTGACCAGTGTAGTCAGTCAGCCAATTGTCATAAGGCACCAGGCAGGTGCCAATATTTACTGTGAACATATATAACATAAAAAGAGCACTTGGTACTTGATTCAAAGCCACCTGGCAGGTATCACAATATCTGTATATATTGCATCTATAATACCCCTAGTAAAACTCGGTAATCCGAGTATGGACCTATTGACCACTCAGGTCCGACACGTTACAAAAGTGGTGACAGCATCGGGATTTTACTGGAGGTATTCCTAAACTTAATATAAATCATTTGAAGATAGTCTTAGGGAATCCGTAGATAGAAGCTAAAGAGGTATTGTCTTCACCAGTCGACACCTATACTAGGGGGCATAACCAAGTGACAAGTCATGACAATGGGCTTGCAACTCGCCAGTCAGATGACTCATTTGACTATTACAGAACATTGAAAAACATCTCAGAAAATATAGATCACAAAGACAGAAAGTACCATGAATCATTGGAAAGGAACAGAAATGATAAGGGACACACCATCCAGACGTCCATATGACGAAGCAAGGCCAAAAATCCGATTTGCCGATGAGCACCATGTTGCAGAGAAACAATATGACTGCTGGTTATCAGACAGCTTGGCGAAAAGGACACACACGAGACAGCCATCCCCTGATCCATATGTCCCTGACACATATCGTCAGACGGAAAGAGACGATAGAGAGAGAAAGCTCACAGTCAAGCCTGCTACATACGATGGTTCAATCTCCTTGCTGGACTACAAGTGTCACTTTGAGGCTTGTGCCAATGTGAATGGTTGGAATGAAGAGAAGAAAGGATTTTTTCTAGCATTGTCACTACGTGGTCAAGCTCAGGCTGTCTTTGGCGATTTACCAACTGACAGAGGCCAACATTATATGAAACAATTGCAAATTCTCTGCGAGAAGTTTTCTCCTCCAAACCAAACTGACCTATACCGGGTACAACTTAAAAAGAGGAGACAAAAATCAACAGAGACACTCTCTGAATTAGGCCAGACCATCAGGCGATTGACCAATATGGCTTATCCAACTGCACCAGGTGAAGTTCGTGAGACACTCGCAAAGGATCAATTCATCGATGCGTTGATTGATTCTGATATCTGCATAAGAATCAAGCAACCATGCCCTGCCAATTTGAATGAAGCAAATAGCCTTGCTGTAGAGCTGGAGGCATATAACCAAGCAGAGAAGAGAAACAGAGAACTTAAAGGTCATTTGAGAGCAGCTTTTGTTGAAGAACAACCTGACACTTCTGACAAATCCAATAATAGTCAACTTGCAAATTGGATGAACTCTGTTGAAGAGAACATGAAAAGCATAACTGAAGAACTCGGGGAGCTTAAGGTCTCTAACCAGAGAAGTCCTTACTACAACAGATACATAGGTACAGGGACATGTGGCAAAAGGAGAATATAAGATGCTATGAATGCAAAAAGTCAGGACACATCAGTTGAAGAGAAGACAAAAGCAGTCAGATAACAGGTCTGATAAAGCATCTAGGAAACAAGCCAATGGAGATGGAAAAAAGCATCAAGACCCCAGGAGTCTATAGGCCTTGTTTCATCTATAGAGGAGTGTGGGTTGCACATGGATGTGAATGTTCAAGGAGTAAACGCTAAATTTTTAGCAGACACTGGTGCTACTGTTACCCATGTTTCTGAGACATTGTACAGAAAGTTACCTGCATCAGTATGAATCAAGCTTCATGAGATAAATCAGACCATCATGTCGGTCAATGGCACTGCTCTATCTGTTCATGGGAAATCGGAATTCAATATTGGCATTGACCAGTTGACATACCATAATGAGGCAGTGGTTGCTAACTTAAATAGAAATGGTATATTGGCCTTGACTTTATGCAAAGAAAGCGATGTTAGCAATTAATGAAGTTCTTGATGTCAATTGTCATAATAAAAGCATGGCAATTGAAGGTTCACATGGATGCTTCAGAATTACAGCAGCTAAGACAGTGAGACTAAGGAGTGAGATAACTATACCTGGTAAAGTGTGTATTCAACGGTTCAAGTCTACTTTCAAGTCTACCATACTGCGAAAGTATTATTGAACCAGTTTACAAGTACAACCAACAACGGAGCACATTAACTGCAAGGCAAAATAGTAATCCCTCAAGAAACTGTGCCAGTCAGACTAAATAATGTTGAACAAGAGTCAAAGATGGTATTTGGGACAATTATTGGACAACATGCTGAGATAGACACAGTGAAAGACACATTAGTGAATACGAAATCACCAGCTACCAGAGTTCTACGCAAGGATTTAGCTGATCTGCTTCATAAGAGTAAGGTCAACATAACTCCAACACAGTTTAAGGGGGCAGAAAACTTTCTGTTAAAATAGACAAACTTGTTTGCTGAGAATAGCTTGGGCTTTGACAGGACTGGAATAGTAAAGCACCTTACCCCACCTCTGTTGATTTTTCCGTGAAATCCTGGCTTACAATTGGTTGAAGTATGTCACGTGAAGGAGGTGGATTACTTATATCCGGTCAGTTGTAAATCTTTACCCAGTCGGTGTATTACGTAACAAACACAACGTGCCGTCATAATAGGCAGAGTATAAGGGTGATGAAGCATTTAGCAGAGAAAAACATTAATAAAACACAGATAATACGTAAATGTTTCATCGGTGGGGTAAATTCGTTACATAGTCTTCTAGTGAGAGGGTACGCGATGATACTCTGCTCCGCCTAGCCTGGTATAAAATTTACTAACCAGGTATCATCCCGTACCCTGTTACTAAAAGACTATGTACTAGTAACTTATAATATCGACACATGTGACAGTAGACCTATTAAACAAAGACCACGATGGGCGCCAGCTCATCTGAAAAATGAAGTAGACAAGAATATAGACTATATGCTTGAAAAAAAAGTGTCATACAGCCTGCCAACAGTCCATGATCATCACTAATAGTGTTGGCCAGGAAGAAAGACGGGACATACAGGTTCTGTGTTCTATCGTCGTCTTAACAGTTGCACTATACAAGATGCATACCCTCTCCCGAGGATTGACGATTAACTTGACCAGTTGTCTGGATCTACATGTACCTGGATTTTAACACTCGACCTTTGCTTAGGCTACTGGCAAGTTGAAATGGCATCTGCAGAAAAACCAAAGACCGCCTTTACCTCAAGCCATCATGACGTAAGGCAAATATCTTTCCCAGTCTGAGTGGTGTTTATTGACGAAAGCGCTTAGCATCTTGACAAGCGTCTTATTGAAACGCTCGACCATGCCATCGCTCTGGGGATGGTAGGGCTAGGTGCGAGTCTTCTCTATGTACAGGATGTGTCATACCTCCGAAAAGAGCTCACTCTCGTACTGACGTCCTTGGTCTGAATGTATACTGAAAGGTACACCAAGTGGCGATACTACCTCCTCGACTAAGATCTTGGCAACTGTTACAGCCTCCATGTTTGGCATTGGGAAGCTTTCCGTCCATTTGGTGAAATAGTCGGATATAACAAGGATGTACTTGTTGCCATTGTCAGTCATGGGCAGTTCACCGAGGATATCGCACTCCACTCTCAACAATTGTCGTAGGTGCTCTCTTTTTCTTCTGAAGATTCTTTCTCTTTGAGCATTTCTTGCAGCCTGCAATGTAGGCTCTTGTGTCTGCTTGAAGACCTGGCCAATAGAACTTTAGTCGGATGCGTACCAGTGTCTTAGTCACACCCAAGTAAGCAACTGTTTTAATATCATGACAATATTGTAATACTGCCTGTCGATGTTGGATCTGAAACTTACAAGTACTCAGGGTTTCTAACCATCTGGCTAGCTGACCCTCAGGAATTTCGAACTTGAACAGCCACCTAAATAAACCATGATCACTGTGAATCAAGAACTCTGTCATTAAGGTAGTGTTTAAAATGCTGAACGAAATGCACGACAGCCAAAACTCTTTTCTCGTAAAGCAGCATATACGTTCACATTTCGTTAGTGTCCTACTGGCATAGGCTATGACATGCTCCTTGCCATCTACATTCTGTGATAGTACTGCCCTAATCGCTTGGTCACAAGCATCTGTGTCTAATATGAATGGAACAGTAAAATCCGGATGGGCTAGCACTGGGGACTGAACCAAATGGTTTTTCAGGCAATCAAATGCCTATTGGCACTCCAATGTCCACGCAAAAGGTTTCTCCTTTTCTGTTAAAGCATGCAGACACTTAGCAATGGCAGAGAAATTCTGAATAAATCTCCCATAGTATCCACACAAACCCAAAAATGACCTAAACTCTGTAACCTTTGCAGGTACTGACCACTCTTTGACAACTGCTATCTTGTTCGAGTCTGTAGATACCCCTTGCTCCGAAACAACATGTCCAAGATATGTTACTTTTCGTGCAAAGAGACAACATTTCTTGGCCTTAAGCTTTAGATTGGCGGTTCTCAGCCTTTCAAAGACTTTTCCAAATTGTCAAGCATTTGTTCGAATGTTTTGCCAGGTGGCTGTTGACGTGTATAGTCAGTTACGCAAATTGTCATAAGGCACCAGGCAGGTGCCAATATTTACTGTGAACATATATAACTTAAAAAGAGCACTTGGTACTTGATTCAAAGACACCAAGCAGGTGTCATTATATATATATATATATATATATATATATATATATATATATATATATATATATATATATATATATATATATATATATATATATATATATATATATATATATATATATATATATATATATATATATATATATATATATATATATATATATATATGTATTCCTACGTCATTATTTGTTGTTTAAACTACACGGTCACTAGTTTGTTACCGGTCTGTCCAATATAGTCTTCCCCGCATGAAGTACAAGTCATACAGTATATTAAATTTCTAGTTTTGCATGACATATTCGCATTGACGGTAAACGTTTTACCACATTTAAATGTAAAATTTTCTCCGGTTTTTAAATAAGGGCAGGTTCCACACAGGGGATTCATACATTTGACTACAGTGCGTTTTTCCTCATCCGATGAAAATCTGGCTCTTGTTAGGAGTTTCTTTAGGTTTGGAGGTTGGCGTCGGCTATAGATGATGCTCTTTGGGTCAATTAATTCCTTTAAATTTTGGGATTGCTGTAAAATAGGAAAACACTGTTTTAAAGTTATATATATTAAGGTTCCGTGGGTTATGGGTAACGAACGGGATTTCCTTATTGTTTTCCTGCGTCCTCGTTTTAGAACTTGATTATTGGTATTGACTTGGCCTTTTCAATTGCTATATCTATTAAGTCGTTAGGATATTTTTGTCTGAGCAAAAATGTTTTTAATTCCTGTAGACGGCCATTTCTTCTGGTTTCATCTATGACAATGGTACAAACACGTCTTGCCATATTAAAAGGTTGTTACGTTTAACGTGTGACGGGTGGCAAAAATTAAATACGAGATATTGGTGGGAATCCGTTTTTTTTATAAATCTGTTTGATTTTGCAAATTTAATTATAAAATATCCAAAAAGGGTATTTAACCTGCTCTTTTCCAAGGTAAATTTAATAAAAATGTGATTGTTAAGTTGGTATGGTATTCTTGTAAATCCTCAGTAGATCTCGTCCAAAAAATGAAACAATCATTAAATCGTTTCCAATTAAATCGTATGTATTGCGCAAAAGGATTTCCAAATCGTCTCTCTGTTTCGTTGAACAGTTTTTATTGCTAAAAAACCGAGAGTTTGCATAGGTTGGGGTTTGCCCACTGTTCCCTTAATTTGTGAAAATTTCTCCCGTCAAAAACAAAATGATTATTCTCTAATATATTTTTATTCCTTCTAGAATAAAGTCTTTAGAAAATCTTTACGTGAATTTGATTGTGGTATTTGTCAATCCAAAAAGCGATTGCTTCATCCAAGTTTTATGCGGTATGTTGGTATAGAGGCTCGTTACATCAAAAAACACACTCAGTATTTAGTTCAAAAAAAGAAAATCAAATCATCCCTTACATAACTTGGTACATCTGGCATATAGCTTTAGAAGTAGATCCAACAAGTTACTGACTGTTGGGGCATGCAGGGCCTCAATTGAACTAAGTTTTAAATCCTTGGTGATAATTTTATATATAATGAGTTTTTCACCTTTCAAGTCCGTTCTGTATTTCTTTGGATTTGTGAAAATCTTTGGTAAACCATAAAAGTTACTCAAAGATTTAATTTCAAAATTGGTTAAATAATCCACTTCCTTTTTGGTTAAATTATCCGCAAAATTATTTGTAAATTTATAAATGGTTTTACTGTCTTCATTAGAGACTAATTCTTTGTAAAAAATTAAGTTGGTCCAAAACCATTTCTTTGTAATGATCCGTATCCATAATCACAATTGCTCCCCCTTTATCTGCTTCCTTTATAAAAAAATATCACTTGCAAGGCTTTTATAGCTTCTGTTCCCGTCTAGTGATATTATCCTTAATAGGTATTCATGGAGATGTCATTACTCCTGAAGGGCAACTTTGATCTGATAATTCATCTAAATGTTTATCCCTATTAGGTGGTGGTTTGAAATTACTTTTATTTCTCACAAGTGATCCGTATTTTTTCATTTTGAAAATAAAGTCTAAGTTTGCAAAACTCCTCGGTATCTTTTATGAGATCCACATTATCCTGTTTTGGTGTGGGTGTAAATTTCAAACCCCTATCTAGAATTTTCATTTCATCTTCTGTAATATTTCCAGATAAATTAACAATTTTCACATCGATTTTCTGATTTTGACAAGTTGTCTAAATTTGCAGAAATCAGGTATTTTTTCTGTAAGTTAGTTTTCCACAAAAAATTATTCTCCGAGAATTCCTTGTTTGGTTTTCTTTTTCTGTTAGAATGTGTAAACTTTTTTCAGCCACTTGATTTTTAGGGGGTTTATTCCAAATCCCCTATTCCGACATTGTTTTGTTGTGTATTCTTTGGTTGTTATCAAGCCATATTTTGAACAGCGATAAATCAAATGATATATTTAAAAACTGTTAGAGAGACGTTTTGACTATGCGCAATACATACATTTAATTGGAAATGTAAAAATAATTTTTTCATTTTTTGGACCGAGAAACCTTAGGATTTACAAATATACCATGGTCTTTTTAAGTCTAGTAAATCCTTCTATAAATTTACCTTGGAAAAGAGCAGGTTAGAACTACCCTTTTTGGATATTCTTATAATTAAGTCTCATAGACAAAATCATATAAATTTATAGAGAAACAATATGTGATATAAAAATTAAACCCGTCACACGTTAAACGTAACATACCTTTTAATATGGCAAGTTAGTGTTTGTACCATTGTCATCGCATCAGAAGAAAGCTACAGGATTTTAACATTTGTTCAGACAAAAATTCCTAACGACTTAATTATAGCAATTGAAAAAATCACCAACCCAGATCTATGGACAATTATTAAAACAACGAAGGAAATCCCGCTGGTCTTACCCATAAAATTGTCATTATATTTTTGTGTGTGTAAAACATTTTCATTTTACAGACAATCCCAAAATTTAACAGGAATATAGAAGAGCATCATCTTAGCCGACGCCAACCTCCAAACCTAAACTTACAAAATATTTTCATCGGATGAGGAAAAATCATGTAATGAAATGTGTTGATGTCCCCAATGTGTGGAAATTTAAAAATTGATAAAATTTTACATTTAAATGTGGTAAAACGTTTACCGTCAATGCGAATATGTCATGCAAAACTAGAAATTTAATATACTGTATGACTTGTCTTCAGGGAAGACTATATTGGACCCCGGTAACAAACTAGCAGACCGTGTAAGATCCATAAACAACAAATAAGACCCCTCCGTCAGGAATACACCTTGGTGAACATTTTGATTCATGTGCGAAAAACTTTTTGATATTTCCATTTTATAAAATCACAAAGATAATGAACAATTGAAAGGAAGATTATTTTGTTCCCCCATATCCAGCTAAATTAAATGTAAATTGAACATTTTAGCTCTAAAGAAATGTTACATTTTATTACAATGTACATGTGTTTAACTCTATAGTTAAATTTCGCTTTTTTGACATTTACCTGTGCCAATGTATAACGCCCTGTTGTTATAATAACGACGTCATAACACAGTTGTATTGTTTTTATTATCATTGTTACAGTCTGAAGATCCAACGGCGAAAGCGCTGAGTGTGTAAAAAATTGTAAAATTTTGTATAAAATCAAAAATTTAAAGATTTATAACATTATGTCCTATACATGGACTTCTACAACATTTTCCCTATATATATATATATATATATATATATATATATATATATATATATATATATATATATATTATATATATATATATATATATATATATATATATATATATATATATATATATATATATATATATATATATATAATCGATACCCCCATACATTTTAAACATGTATAAATGCTATGCAATGTTGATCAATTCTGCTGTATAGCCATCAATAAAGAACAAATTATTACCATGGAACCTTTCATTTAGAAAATGAAAATTTTCATCTTTCAGACTAAAAACGTAAGAAAAACTCTCTACATGTATATATATATATATAGCGAAAAAATGTCATGAGGCCGTTTTTAAAAGTACTAGTAAATCAGCATCGGGTACAGACGATCATGTGACCCTGTAAGAATCTTATTTACTTGTAAGTCTCCATAAATACATGTTAGAGGAACATGTGATATAAAAATTAAATATGGTAGATATTCCGTGTTAGTGAGTGACATCGCATCAGCTGATTTTAACAATTGTTTACTTCCTCATACTTATCAAAACTTAAAAATCACCAACCCAGATCTAATGGACAATTATTAAATTAACGAAGGTCAAGAGCTAGGTTTCTTCTAAAATTGTCATTTATTTTTGTGTGTGTAAAGTTATCATTTTCATTCTGAGCAGACACAATACAATATAGATAAATTTCGTCTTCCGTGTACAATTATAAATTTATCTTCCGTCTTCCTTCTTGTAATAAAATGTGTTGTATACACCAAATTCTTGTAAATTGAATTGATAATGTTTCAAAAGGTGAAGATGACTATCAGTGAACCGTCTCAGAGATCCAGTTAAGAAATGCATGAATTGTGTTCAGGGTAAAACCTCGGGCCCCTGGAAACAGCAGAGAGGGATCAATTGTCATTGAGGAGTAAGCATCTCCCTCTACTGGTCAATGATAAAAAACAATCTTGTCTTTATATTACGCTATATGGTACTATTACCAATGTTAAAGAGTAGGATTTCACCCATAGCAAACTTTCCTCCGGAATCTATACTCTATAAAAGATATAGTACTTCCCTCGGAGAGGAAATTTCACACAAGAGTTAAATTTCCCTATTTCTTTTCTCAGAGAATTCGATTTCCCTGTTTTATGATTAACACATTGTTTTGTAAGAAAAAAATATGATTAGAGTCATCCAATTAAGAAAAAAGAAACATGAGTGTGTCAACTCAATAATTGTAAAATTTAGTATAAAATCAAAAATTTAAAGTTCAAATCATTATGTCTTATACAAAGAACAACTCCTAGGAAATTGTAGAATAAGTAACTAAAATAAATAAAATCAATAAATAGAAAAAACTCGATGTCTCTCACGATAGTACTTTTTAAAATGTATATCACGCCTTTCTTTAATGCGTTGGTACTTTATATGCCCCTAAAAGCCCTGGAGCCCCTTTATAAAAGAACGTCTAAGACTAAAAACTTAAGTTTATGTAAAATTTTTCAAAACTATTGTTTTTGTTTAATATTGCTGGAAGGAAAATATATCATCTTTCATTCCATTCAAAAAGTTTTAAACAATTTTCAATTTAATGTAAATTAAAAGTTAAAGCAGAATAGAGTTTTGGTATTTGTCGTAAGTTCTTACTTGTTAAACGGGCCTATCATTTTTACTTTTTTATGGATGGATCCTTTTTTACAAATACTGTGTGATAATTTAAAATTAAAAAAAATAACTTATTGAGGTGTCATCCCAAACGTTAGGTCAGACGACCAGTACTGCGTATATTGTTGTTTATATGATCATAGGCTAGTGTTCACAGATTTAATCTGAAGTGCAATATGGGTAATAATATTTGATAGGTAAGGACCACTTTCAAAACTGAGACATTTAGTTTTGTACATGAGAAAGTATGGAATGCTTTCCAGCTGTCCGAAATACGATCACTACCTTAACTTTCTATCTAACCAAAAATATTTCAGTTGTGTTCAAACTTTTATGTTTTAAAATTGTCTTATAAGACTTAATATAACCCTTGAGTCCTTTAAAAAAGGACTGAAAATATTTACAGGGGATAGATATATAAAAAAAACGGATTGCTAAGAATACTTTTTTTGGCATTTGCAACAAAATAATACTAGTATATTAATAGGCAAAATTTATTTATTTATTCATTTCTTTTCAAACCACCGAGAGGTCATCTATTCTGTTTCCAGTACAAGTCATTGAGCAGCACTGTATAACATTTAGAATTTTGTGAACAGTCAGAAATTGACACAATTGGGAAAGTGTATCAACTGAAACTGAGTACAATATCCCTGACAAAATGATGTGTAAGTTACAGCCTTTTTGCCTATATGGAATATACGCCACTTACGACACGTTCCTCAAAAATATCTTTTGTATTTCTTGGTATTATATAAAACATATGCATATTTGTTATTCTCTTGGAATTTCTACATTGTTTTCAATACAGGCTGTTAAATATAAGTACACCAAAATTTGTTGTATAGGCCATTCAGAAGATCACTCAAAAGATTTATATCAGAAATATCACCCTGTGGTATCATGTTCAAATGTCTGGCAAAGTACCTTACATCTATGTAATATCAAACAGTTTTCTTTTTGATAGTCAACAATAGTATGTTTTTTTTCTCTTTGCGTTATGTGTGTTTTTTTCCTCACAACTTTTTAACATAACTGTATGGTCTGTCAATCGAAGGACTTGAGTCCTCCTTTACACTTGATAAAATTATACTGACTCACGCAGTATTTGGTTTTTCTTCTGGATTCAAATCATCATTTAACAGTGAATGAACACAGCTATAAGGTCGGTCTTCCTCCTTAACTTCGGGATCAGATTCAGTCTGCAGACCATCAGGATAAACTTGTTTTACACAATCGTTTTCTGTGCCTGTTTTGTCTTGATCAACCTTTAACACGTTTGTGGAAACATCATGACATAGACTGTAGAAGCGTGGCTTTAATTCATTGTGTTCGCTCACCCTCTTCAAATTTAGAGGTAAAGTCAAAGATTTGGAACTTCCATCATGATTAAGTAATTCTTGTTGTAACCGACCTTCATCAGGCAGATCAGCATATTCCTGAAGGTCACTATATAAAATTTTCCCCTCCTTATGCAACGAAGGAGGTAAGTTTGAGTTCACTTTAAGGTTAATGTGGTCATATTCAGTTTCAAATGAACATTTTTCATACAAATTTGTATTTCTCGCAACACATTTAGGTTCTTTGGACATCGTATTGCCTTTGTTGTTTATATTCATGGCTGCTTCTGCACATTCCCCGCCCATCTGGGAATACCGTATTTCTGCGTAAGGATCGTCACCTTGACATTGTTGTGTGGGGATGAGAGTGGAATGTTCCAGCTGTCCTTCTTGTGGATGATGCTGTACGTTTCTATCTGCAAAAGTAGAATTCATGTGTTCCAAAATTTTATATTGTACTTTTAAACCAAAACATTATAACTTCACATTACAAACTAAAAGGAAAACAGGTTTTTATTAAATCTGGCATTAAATATACACCTCTTTTGTATAAAAAACCTTTTTTGTCATAACAGGGATTTGAATCCCACCTCTCTCGCTCGGAAAACTAAAGTAAATTGTTACAACAAATCCATTTATTAAACTAAGCATATAAAATGCTTTTCATTTATGACTACTTAGAAGAAATCCGGAATGTAGCTAATCAAAAGACATTCTCTCAATCAGAGTCATTTAATGTGAATGTTAGACATGAGAAATATTCAAGTTTTCTTCATATAAAGGATCGAAGATGAATCAGGTTCACAGATTTCTATACTTTTGTAGTTTTTTAAAGATCAATCACTGTTTGCTATTTTCATCTTTTTCATTTACTGATAATGATAAAACTGTACAGTATTAAGGCTCGAACTTCTAATAGGTTTGGTCTAGAGCAAACACAGACCTCTAAAACTATCAGGAGTGGGATCAAGTGCCATGGGGGAGTAAGGATTCCATATCATGTGCTTCGTTTGAGAAATTTTTCGTACAAAGAGCATAATTATACCCGTACCCGTACCCTGGCATATCGAATCAAGTGAGAGTCATAAACGTCGTATGCAAGTGCTAATGGTTCATGCACTGTAGGAAAGGAAAATTGGTGGTAGAAAAGTGGCCTTAGATGTATTTTTCTAGTAAAATATCTAAATATGACACAGATGTGTCAAATTCTAAGATATCTTTCAATTCGAGTTCAAAGGGATAATTATATCCAATCAAAGTATGACTGAAAATTAATATTGTTAGTTCTGAAAACAGTCGATATACTAGAATCTAAATGTCGAATTTGTAGGCCAGAAGGAGATACCTCATGTTTTCATATTCGATACACAAGGGAATGCTCTACGTATGAACGATTTCTAAAATGAGGTAAGTTATTGACAAACAAGTTGATGAGACAAAATTATCAACAGTCTCGTCTAAAGTCATCATTTTGTAAGTTATATGGTCGATACAATGACCTTGTCAGCAAATACAATCTATCATTAATGTAATTGATGACTGACTTTATTTCATCATAATTGTAAGGCCATTATTAACACTCTGAATTGCTGGTCGGTAGTAGATTCTCACTCCTCCATAGCACTTGATTGATCTCTGATGTTTTAGAAGTGCTTGTTTGCCCTGCTTTATATTTTTTATTGTTCAATGGGCTTCTGCGTTCGAATGCTGTTCGATAATCCCCTTTAATTCATGTAAATGTTTTTGAATAGATTCTGTTTAATATGCCTACAAATATCACCAATTTATATACTATATTAATTGGAAAAATGCGATGAATTAAACACACCTGGTTCTAAACGGGAAAATAAAATCCTCTTGATTCCTTTTGGGGCTTTCTTCTTAAGATTGCGACTAAAACATAAAACAAATTATTATTTTTTTCTTTAAAAAGTAGTTTAGGTAATAAAAACCTTGGAAATATAACATTTTATTTCAGTTTTGCTATTTAGAAAATGTATAAACATGCAGTATTTATATTATTTAATATAAAAAAATATGCCAACTAATATCGAGATAGAAGCATGATAGTACCGAGAACGGAAGTACATAAAACATCCAATTAGAAAGAGCGTTGCCAAAGATCCAATCAGTGAACAGCTTACAGCTAACCAGGTGACATCATGTTGTTTAACATTTTGATCTTGACGCCCTGCTGGGTACATACTGGAAGTTATCGTGGCTTCCATATCTGTCGTTTTATTCGACCAATCGAAAACAGAAAACAGTTTAAGATTAGATGTTTTTGTGGTTTGCCATTCTTCAGTTTTATCCACCGAATCAGGAAAATTGGACGTTTGATGATTTTCATCGGTTGTGTTCTCAGACCAAAAAGAACTGTTTTCTAAATAATTTCAGAAAAATTAAATTTCTAAGGAAAAGAACAGAAAATCTAAAGATAATTTCATTAAATAAATATGATTTCTTTTTCAGCCTTTGTATCAGACATACACTAGTGTCCATTGTTGCGATTCTGAATGATAGTGTTACCTATAGTACATCCTGTAACATGATGACATTTATGGGCCTTGCACTCACAGGGAGATCCACACAACCGTCCGTAAAACCCTGACGGACAGGTCATATTACAGTTCCATCCAAAAGTTCCAGGTGGACATTCTGAAGTACATGTATTTTATTCAAATGTAAATTCATTATGAAGAAACGATGATAGCTTTTGTCCAAATACGACTCGTAATTATGGAAGATTTTTTTTTAAATGTAGTGAATGAAAACTTCAACCACTGCTCACTAAAGAGTCTTAAATCTCAGACTTGTTTCATGCAGCGAGAGTGACCTGCCTTCAGAGATAAGACAGAGTTAACGGTAATATAATGAATGAGATAATTTGCAAGATTTAAAAGTAATTTTTTGCATTATATAAGACAAATATAAAGTAATTGAGCATATTATTTCATACACTCAGGGTATAGGCTAATATTCTGTTTTAAAACTAAATTAGATTAATTCAGATCAACAAGTCCCCCAATAGATGATATAATATTTTAACTAAACCACTAGATTTCGGAGCCTACTTAAAATATACAAATGATTTTGTCCATAAAATCTTGAAAAGAGCAGTTCAATTGCTGGCTACATAAGGGAATTATAATTTAAATTTTGTACTGAGATTGAATAATAAAATATGCTTAAGTTAGTGAACGAAATTCAATGTTAATGTTTAATAGATATGATAATAATATAGTTTACTGATCAGATTTTTTCTGTCCTTTGTCAATAGAAAGAAAAATGAAATCTACCCGCAAGTAAAACTTACCTTTGCAGCTTTTACTTTCTGAGATTGAATGCTGATTATAACAGCATGGATTGCCGTACCTATAAAACCAAACATATAAAAAAATAAATAATCCAAAGCGACATATTCCATGAATCCTTTGTTAGTTTATGCAAGAAACATTTTTGTGAATTTCAATCAAAGGTACATGCATTACTTTTTACCTCTTACACCCCATTGCTGATGCTGTTGTCATTTCTGTAAATGAGATATAGACAACTTTATTTTTAAAACACGACTTACTGTACTATACAGGACGGAAATAAACTCTTGAATAAAAAAGAGGTCGTGTCATCAGTTACTCTGCTGGATATTTAGGAGTAAAGAAGACGTTTTCAACAGATAGCAGTAATATGAATGGTTTAAGTTTATATCCCTCAGGCCCCAGGTGGAGGTTAAAAGGGAGATCTTGGAATACGTTACTTTTGTGCATCTTTATCTTAATGATTCATGCAAAAATTGCTTGTAGGTGTATTTTGTTAAGAGATTCAAAATGTTTACGACCAACATACAACAGACCACAGCAGACAGAACTATACAGCAATGTGTCACCTGAGTGATCCAGGCCACAAAAACCCTCCCAACGAGATTATTTTTTACCTTAAATAAATACATTCATTCAACTATCAGTGAATTTCATTTCTTTTAAATATCGGAGAGATTTTGATCACTGTAGGAACTTTTTAATAGCTATATATAGCGTATCTGAGCTAAAAAAGAGATTACGTTTAGATTGTACATAGTATTTATTATGTATGTTCAAATTAAAAAAATTCACGGCGGATGTGACCGATGGACAAGGGATGCTTAATCCTCCATGGCACCTGATTCCACCTCTAATGATTTGGAGGTCCGTGTTTGCTCTGCTCCTATTGTGTATTGTTTTATGAACTTATGATCTTGAATACTGTTCGTTATCTCCATATGTTTCATTCCTGATTAAAAAACAAGATGTGTTTGTGAAACACTATGCACCAGGCGGCAACAAAGTTTGGAAAAAGCTATTTTTTAGCATTAAGGTCACAGTCAAGGTCACAAGGTCATTAACCTTGGTGTCATTTGATACAGGTTGATTAGTGGAGTATGCATACTAAATATGACATCTCATTCTTTCAGGGTTCAATAGTAATAGTGAGGGTTCAAAATAAAAGCTATTTTTAGCACATAGGACAGAGTCAAGGTCACATGATCATTGACCTTCCTTTCATTTGAAAGAACCTGATTAGTGGAGTATGCATTCCAAATATGAAGTCTCTATATTTCATGGTTCAGAAGTTATGGTGAAGATTAAAGTAGGCAGAAAAAAACTATTTTTAGCATATAGGCCACAGTTAATGTCACAAGGTCATTGACCTTGGTTTCATTTGAAATGAATTAATTAGTGGAGTATGCATACCGAATATGAAGTCTCTATCATTCATGGTTCAAAAGTGAAAGTTTAAGTTCGAGACAAACAAACACACAAACAGACAGACAGGACAAAAACAATATACGCCCTGGATCTATCAATCCGGGGGCATAAAAATGTAATATGAATATAGTTTTTTGCTCATTTCTAAATTTCTCATGTTTTGTTTATTTAAAATTGAAAAAGAATATAAAGATTACCTTCATTCGATGCATTTTATCTTTAATATAACAAGAGCCTGTTTATAGTTCAGAAAATCTAAAATGGATTTTCTGTATCGTCCACAATTATCCCTCTTTTCCTGGTTATATTTAGCATTTATATTTATAATATGTATTTAAAATAAAAAAGAAATCAAAGAACATAAAAAAGCTTTACTTCCTTGCTGATTTATAAATTTCAAGTTGGTAAAGTAAAAGATTTTAGCATTTTAAAGGTTTACTTCAGTCAATGAAAAATTCAAATAATAAATCTAAAAGTGACATTCACTTGCTGTATTTCGGAAGGTTTGAATTTTTCATTTTTATCAAAATCAATAAAAACACATATAATATAATTCTGGATCTTTAAACAAAGATTAATGACCCATTTCTTCCGGAAATCGTTATGTTTCTTAAGTAGCGTTAATTTTTAATTGGTGTTCGGAACTGATGATTCTTGTTTGTCTGACTGTTATGAATTCAACAGAGTGATATTTCCTTTTTCATTCCCATTTTATTTAACACTTAATTGTATACTTTATTGCTAGTTTATTTAAGATTTTAAGACATTTTTGGTGAAATTTATTTTCCCCAGACATATATACTGAACATTAAAACCAATTCAATGAATTTGGAAAAACGCGTTGACAGTTACGAAACGATAATTCATAATTCCATCCGCTTTTTGTAATATTTCAGGAATAATTGATTTTTTAATTCAACGAAATCTGAATACATGTACAGGCTCGGATCTGTGTTTATGGATTATGCAAATCATGGAATTTTGAAACTGCTACGTTTTCTGGAAGAAAATGCAGCCAAAACAACCCGTTTTTGCTTAAACTCCAATATGCCAACAACGCGGTTTATCTAAGTGATTTTCTTTAACTCAAAAAGGTTACAGTCTTGCATTCCACATTATTTCATGTTGAAGACTACGCCTTGTCCTTCCTACAAACATACATCAACTATTGCTTCCAAACAATAACTAAAATATTTACAGTGACTATTATTTACAGAGGCTAGATATGGAGTATGTTAAACACAATCCTCCTTTGTGTTAAAGTTCTTCTTCACCCTACACCTATGGTCCTGCTGGATGCATAATTACTGAAGACAAAGAATGAATTAATGATGAGGAACCTAATTAAGTCATTAATTTTAAAAGGGCCAACATTCAGGTAAACAAATCTTTAAAGTGGAGTAATAACCTCATAAATATTTAGGATTCTGTGGAAGATCACGCCACTGAGGTGATGCACCAAATATGAAAAAAGAAAACCTTTAAACGTTGTCAGAATAGATTAATTTATTAAATATGTTAAAAAAATTGCATTTTGTGACAGAGATGCAAAATGAAAGCAACTTTTCTCCTGTGTTCAATAATTCAAAAGTTAAAAAAAAATAGGAAAGATTATACGATCAGTATGTGCTGGATCCTGCTCACAAAGCAGGTAAAAGACTTTGTTTGTAAGGCTCATTATTTTTAATATTCCTAATAAATAGAATGAATTTTGAATAACCTTACCTTGGATTCCGAAACTTCATAAAAAATTCTTACGAAACAAAGATACATACCCGGTAGTAGGTTCCAGTAAATGTTCTAGCAATTCGCTTTAATCATCACTGAATTATTAACACTGTGACAGTAAAGGAGAAAGTTCAAGAGTAATGTGCAAATACATATTCAAAAAGTGGTGTAGATCAGATGTGCATGGTTCCTAAAACATTCCAAGCAATTTTTAGAAAATTTGACAAAATTTTACCAAAATATATATCATGATATTTTACTTGAAAGAGTCGTTATTGGTAATCTAACAACAAACTCTATAATAAACTTGATGACTTTGACTTTTCAAAGGTCAACTACCCTTACTTATGCAGCAATATACCTTAACCGTCTGCATACGATGTTTACATTTCTCAGTGGTTTTGATAAGGGAGAGCCAGATTTTTTAATTTTCAAGATGAAGTACCTTATAAACAAACAAATAATGAAACGAGAATAGCAGCGGTCTCGTATAAAGTCATGATTTCGTACGCCTTCTGGTCGATACAATATTTTTGTCCGCAAATACAATTTATCATTGAGTTAAATGCTGACTGACGTTTTTCATATTTATTGGTTGGCCATTATTTATACACTGCATTGTCGACCCCCCCCCCCCCCCCGACCTTCCCGGATCATGACATTTAGCACATTGAGACTGTGATAGGTCGACAAGGGATGTTCACTCTTCTATGACAACTGATCCCACCTCTGATATTTTGAAGGTCCACAGGTCCTTGTTTGCCCTGCTCTTGATTTGTATTGTTTAATCAACTTTTGAGCTTGAGAGTTGAAAACTGTTCGCTATCTCCATATCATCTCAACATATTGTATTGAAAGGTTTCAAAAGTTAATAAATTTGTACTTTGTTTAGAGAATCATTCTTACATTATATTATTTAAACCATAGTTATTAATAGCTGTCACATCAGAATTTTAGTGTAGTCTTTCTTGTATGGTATAAAAGCCTTAGCTTTTCCTGTCGAGGAATAGTTGCTTTAAGTGCCATGAAAATCATATAATGTTCATTGGGCTAAATAATTTGAATATCAAATTTTTCAAAAGTACTCCTCAATGAAAAGTAATAAAAATGTTTTAAGAATCGTGAGTTTATGTGTTTTGTTTGTTTTTGTGTATGAAATTTTTCTATATATAAAAGAAGAATTTAAACCTACGCAAAGGTGAAATGAACCTAATAAATGCAATCACAAGTTATCTCCCTATCATGTTTTTATTTTCTGAAAGAAGGGTGGTAAAACAAATACCTGATACACTTTTTTTTTCATGGGTAGAAAGAAGGAAGGAATATCAAGGTAGAGGATTGTCTAAGTTCTTTTGCATGTTTTTTTTAATATAATAATTGCATTTCAAGTAAAAAAAAAAACCACTTTTTAATATTAGTATATATATCACAACACTTCTTGAATATATTGTTGCACTATGAAAATGTTCTATATATAAAAGACGAGTTTAAACCTATGAAAGGTGAAGGGAACCTAATAAAAGCAATCACAAATCCTAACATGTTTTTATTTTTGAAAGGAAGGTGGTAAAACAAGTATCAATGGGAGAAAGAAGGAAGGAATATCAAGAGAGAGGATTGCCTAAGTGATTTTGCATGTTTATTTATAATTGTATTTCAAGTAAGAAGAATAAAAATATATATATATACATATTTTTGTGCAGTCATATGTACCTCTATTAATATTGACACTTTACAATCCTGTTAACAATTGCTATCATCTTTCTAGTTGTAATTCGTGTCGATATGCACGATATATACACAAAACCGAAAGAACTTATAGAGTTTAGATAAATTATTTTATTAGATAAAATTATTACTGTAAAACATTATTCCTGCTGAAAACTGATTTATAAGTTTTTTGAATAATTTTTACTTTATGTATTTTTTCAGAATTTCAAATTATCAGATATGATTAAAATCAATTAAATTAAAAAAATCAATTAAATTTTTAAGACTTTATAAAAGTTTTTGTCTTCCTGAAAATCTATTATAGTAACTTTCATTCATACGTTGACTCGATATATACCAATGAACCTAATGAAATGCATTACAGCGTCTGCCACATCTCTTTTATATTTTTGTTTTACTGATTATCTTCATTGAGTCTCAACTACATGTAAAGCCTTAATTGTATGACAAATGAAACGACTTAAACTTTTCTATCATCAACTTTTCTCTTTATATAGAAAGAAGTATCTCACTATTACGTGCAAATGGTGTTAACATGTTCCATCTTATTTGAAACTCAAAAGCAGTATCCATTCATTTTAACGAAACAGGCAGTCTACATACAGATAAATCGATCCTTCATGGATGTAAACAACAACAGGCTTTAAAGTCAACCATGGGTAACGTCGTTATTATGACCTTGTTGGTAAAATAAACTTATCGCTTATTAGTCCGTTGGTGTACGTTTTTCAAAACAACTGTAAAACTTTGATTTTACACTGAATCTGTAAACGAAATGTTCTCTGTACCTGATCAAAATATACGACTCAACACCCCATATCCATAATACATATGGAGATAACAAACAGTATGTAACAAAAGTCCACAAAACAAAACGAAATATGAGCATAGCAAACACTGACCTCCAAAACATCAGAGTTGGATCATGGAGGATGCATCTTGTCATCCCGCCATTATCCTTTTCATGTTCGGGAAATAATCATCCAAAAATCTTGTTTATATTTTTTTTCCTTTCAAAGGTCTGTATTGTACATAATTTTGAGATTGGTCACTTTTTGTTTTATTCACCTTTTTCATTATTTTCATCATGACAAGTATCGATATTTATGCTATCACCTACTGATGATCAATTTGATTTTATTATATTACTTACGGTAGTAATGATGTCAAACTTTCACTTAGAAACGTATGAAAGTTTTACGGCATATACGAAAAGTCACAGAAAGTCTTTTGCTATATTGCTTTGAATGTTTGTCGAGAAATAGTTAAAAACAATTTTAGAAATCAATTTTTCCTGACATAAGACTCGATATCACAAAAGAAAGAAAAAAAACTTTTATGCTTTAAATTGGTATAAAATATTTAATTTTGATAATGACACTGTATCAATCATATGGTTTTAAAATTGTTTTCAATCTACCATTTTTTGAACATAGCTATATCAACTATTTTTCAAATCCTCGGGGTTCTTTCTTTCCAAATCTTTCTTCTCTTCTGGTGTAACACTACTGAAGGGATCTCTTCCTAATGTCCCTTCATTATCTAAACTTAAATCATTATGGGAAAATGAATGAGCAAAACTGTACGGTCCACTGTCCTCCTTTAATCCAGGATCTTTTGTAGTCACTGAAATGTCTGAAGTTGATTTAATGAGATTCTTTTCTTTTTCATTGGTAATTTTCTCATCTTCCAACTCATTTTCTGATTTTACACGGCATAAACTGTAGGAATGTTGTTGTAATTTTTGTTTAACTGTTTTACAACTGGAAGGTAAAGTCAAAGATTTGCTACTTTCGTCATGATATGACAATTGTTTCTGCAATCGACCCTCATCAGAGAGAACGACATAATCCAGATCTTTTCCAATTCCGAATTTCTGATGAGGTAACTCAGGAATGCTTGATTTCACTCTAAGTTTAACATGGTCATATTCATTTTCAAATGAACATTTCCCGTACAAATTTGTATTTCTAGAAACATTTCTAAGTTCTTTGGAGGCAACGTGTTCTTTCTCTTTATTGTTTATTGTATTTGTGCATGTTTCTGAGCATGCGCCAGACATTTGAGAGAACCGTATTTCCATATAGGTATCGTCATCTTGACATCGGTTAAATGTGGTGACTGTGGATGGTGGGTGATGGTCCTCGTGGAGAAGTTGTATGTTTCTTTCTGTAATATATGTGGATAGAAATGCACCATTATTAAGTCTTATTCCTGAAATAAAACAATACAAAATAGGAGCAGAGCAAACACAGACCTCCGAAACATAAAACCAAAACCTTCGAAGTTTAAACCGTGGTTATCGCATTCAATACAATCCAACTCAATTTTTCATCTAAAGATAGCCTATATACATGTTTAATAAATGTAGTCAAAGAAACTACCAGAAATCGGAAACCAAATTTAATGAGTTAAACAGGAAACGTACATGTGCATGTACAGGTACATATATAATGTTGGTTGTCAGAAAAAAAAAGTTTTAGAAATTATGGAAACCACAGATCAAAGTGGAAAAAGTATATAGATATGACAAGGATTTTAACATCATTGATATAATATTTTAAAATAAATACATTCGACTTACAATAAATATTCCAACAGGTATTTGTAATTACATAATCCCAAAATCCTAATATAGTAGAAATGGTAAATATAAATTAGACACATGGAGTCAGGGTAGTTTATAAAACAAGTAGTACAATCCTAATACATGGCCTAATGATTTGACATATACATACCTTCATCTCTACCAGAAAATAATATCCTTTGAATTCTTTTTGGAAATTTCACTTTGAGTCGCTTTCTTAAAAAAGATAAACAAATTTGTTCGTTTTTAAGCTATTTTGATAAAAAAAATAAACATTTTTTTCTGATATTAAGACATAAACATACAGGTAATGAATCTTGATGGGCGTTGTCTACTGAAACGTATGGCAAGCTATTTACTGTTTATTCGAAATTTAAAATGTAAAAATGATGTGATATATATCCATATATTTTTTGAAGGCGTCTAAATTACCAATATTTATTTGCCCAAAATGTTTACCATACTTTTAAGACTTCTATTAGCAGGTTTTACCTGGCGATTTAAATCCTGTGATTTGAGAAATCAGATTGGGCGTAGCAATTGGAGAGAGCAGAAGTGTTAAGACTGAACTCAACTTTCTACCTTATTTTTGTTTACATGTTTTAATACTTCATCGTGACCAGAGATATTTTTATTTGGGTAAGTGTATTTTTTCATTACCGTTAACTGTATGACTTATTGACGGTTTTTAATTTGAAATGGCCACAGAACTTTGTTCTATAATTTAATTTTGGTTGTTTTATATTTGCTCATGTAAAGTATATGTCTTATAAGCATGATAAAGTAAAAGTATAAAAATGTAATGAAATATGTATCAATGATAGATAGCTCATGCTTTTATAAAATGGCGTATAGTTATTCCTTAAAGTAAAGTGGTTGTCTACCAAGTAGTACACAAGTTTATGTGTGAACGTAAAAGTTCTATAAAGTAAAGTAGTATGAAGTGAAGTGAAGTATAAGTACAATGCAGTAAAATGCAACTAAGTAAAGTGTAATGCAGTAAAATGCACCTAAGTAAATGTACAGCAAAATGTACAAGTGTGAGCAATGTTTAATTATAATATGTCTGTATCTAACTTTGTTTTATTTTATAGGCCCCATTTATTAAAGGCCACTTATGCCATCTGTACCATTTGCCATTCAAGTAAAGCCATTCAGACAGTTATACTTCGCGTGTGTTTGTAAATATCTGTAATAAAAAACTATTTTACACACATTGCTTTGTGATTTTGGAAGCCGCCAGCCACCCTGTGACAAAAATCAATCTGAAAATAACTGATATATCCCTTATTTTAAGACGTTTAAATAAATATTTAGTTTGTAAATAATATCATCTGGAAGACATAAAATCTATAAGCTTACCGAGAACGGAAATGCAGAAAAAATCCAATCAGAATGAGTGTTACCAGCGAACCAATCAGTAAAGAGCTAAGTGCTATCCATGTGTCATCGTGATGTTTGATACTTTTATTTTGAACATGTTGTTTTGCTGGAAACGGACGGGACGTTGTCGTAGTTTGGAGATTTCCAGCTAAATGAGTCCATTCACTAACTTTGGTTGTTTGATATGCAGTGCCGGTTGATAAAGAAGGAAAACTAGTTCTGCTTTCTGATTGATATAAAAATTAATGAATTTGTATCAAATATCAAGTTGAGATCATGCTTTTTGAAAAAATGAGGTAATTTTAATTCCCTTTTTTAGATCAATGGTATACCCAAAGTTAACCTCTGAATAAAAGAATTACCTCGAATACATCCAGTAACATGATAACAGTAAGAGGCAGAGCAGTTACAGGGGGACCGACACAATATTCCATAATATCCTGACGGACATCTCTGATGACAGTTCCATCCAAATGATCCAGCTGGACATTCTATAGTATAATAAACCTTTAACATGTTAAAAGAACTAATTGTTTCTATAGGAAACGATAAAAAAGTCATCTGCGTACAAGTTCTTTTTGTAACAATTGGTATTTTTTCATTATGTCATGATCACTAAGTGCATGTTGTTTTAAACGGCTGGAATTGCTTCATTTTTCTAATTAATTCTATCTTAATGATTTTATTTTACTTCGTTTTAGTTCGTACGCGACATTGCAATGAACGATAGACGAATATTTTTTTCCCTTATTCCGAAATTTTCATATATCAAGTTGAGGTCAAACAAACAATATACAACAAGAAAACATTGATGTAACCATCAATTGTCGCCCGGGAAATATATAAAGTAAGCAATGGAAATGAGTCTTGATCATCAAACGTGATTTGCTTAGTTTATGTGTGAAAAGGCATGCGTCCTAATTGATGGAGACCTTAAAACTTCCTTTGAAACTTTTCTTAAAGTCGGATAAATATCAAACAAAAACAATACTATTTTAAACTTCAATTCCTCGAGTTTTAGAATGCATAAAATATAAATTGAAGTTAGACACATGCATCACCTACTGTATATTCAAAAATTTATTTCATTTTCAATTTTAGAATATACAGGAACACGACAAACTGTCCATAATATCCGTGGACATCTTCATACAGATAAGCAAAATTCAATGTCTAACGTATAAAAAAAGGGACCTGTCGTTTGTTTCTATAGTAAATGGTAAAAGCAATCTTTATATATTACTTATGTAAAACATATATATTTTTAAATGTCATGATCACTTGTTTGGAAGTAAATATATTTTGTATCATTCTGTATATTAATTTATGATTTTAAAGGGAAAGAACATTGTGATCTAAAAATCTTTTCAATGTTTAGAAAAACAACACTTAAATTTTCAAATATCTAGTTGAGAAAGCTATATTACCTGCAGATGTAAAACAATATACAATCAATCAATATTATATAATACATACCAATGCAGACGTTGCTATTTCGGTCTAGATACTGATTGAAGCAGCACGGTAATCCGTCTCTTCAAAAAATAAGAAAGGTATTAAATAGAACAATCCTAGTTATTTTGTTTGGATTTATAAATTGAAATGTGTTAATTAGTGCATTTAATTAAGACTCGTACTGCTTTTTACAAGATGTCATCGTCGTTGAACAACACCATGTCAATAAATAGCTCTCTGTATTTAAGCATTGATGTATTATGGTTTACAGGACGGAAAACAATACTCCTTAAGTACTTAAGGACAGATGGAACAAACTAAAGAAATGAATGGATGCTTGGATTGGTTAATATTTTTAGGCCTATTCTTGTTGTATATGATGCAAATTGTAAATTTCTATAAATTGATATCTTTCTATGATGTTTAAAATAGTACCTATATGCAGCCATCTTATTAATTTATGCAAATTTTTATCACTTCAAATCCAATTTGTGTAAAACTTTGAAGGAAAATTTAAAGCTATACAATTAAAATTGTTCATTCTTAATGCTTATATTAACAGTCTATTATTTCAAATTTTTGACAAAAGTTTGTTTGTATCATCTTTTGTTAAGTGTTAGTAAAACCATTTCGTTTGCAGGAAAGTCATGATTAATTATATATTTTTTTCCAAAAGCATCCTCCTGTAAATTCAATTTAAATCATGTTACCTGAGGATAGGACGATGCAAAACAAGACAGCACAAAAAATTTTCTTGAATAGAAAAGAATCCAAACTATACTTTTGTTTTCATTTACTTACATAAAGTTCTCATCAGATTCATATGAGTCATATTACCTATTACAAGCATTGAATATCATTGTTGTTGATTTGTGACATAATAATTACATGTAGCAACTCTCTGTATTTAAGTTATATATGTTATATTGTAAAAACGTACGGGACGGAAGGCAATACTTCTAAACGAGGAAGATATATCACATGTTTATGTTAATTCCTGTGTAAAGTGCCAAATTACGCGTTTCTATAGTGCTAATTTATGTTAGTTTGTTTAACACTTTATATCAAAATGCTCTTATTAATTTCATGTTCCAATATTTTCCGCAATTAAGCTCACAGTTTCAGAACTTGATCTTTTATCTCCCAGTAATTTTAAGATAAACTTCTCATTTTCATGTAAATATTTCTGAAATGTGAGTTTATGTATGATTAATATCTCATGCTTCAGTTGAATCTACATTTCTGATTTTATTCAAAACTCATCATATCTATGATACATATCCAGAGATATATATATAGAGTTTTATAGACTGATAATTTTACCCAAGTACATTCATAAATTGTGCTCCTGTTTTAGCTGACCCCCTTTCAGATTTCAATGAATCAGAACAAAAAAAAAAACTTTTACATAAGAAGAAAACATTCCTGTGATGTTTAATCACTATTAAAAAATATTCATGCATTACAATTAATTCATTGTTATTATATATTTCATATTCATTTACAGTAATTTTTCAACACAATTTTCATTAACCATAATTATGTTTATTATTATTCAAGAGCATGCCCAAAGCTATTTCAAAGCATAAAACAATACAAAACATAGCAGACTTGACAAATTAAGCTGATGCTTCAGGGATTATTATCAGAAAAGAAGCCATTTATATGACTTTTGTTTTGATCAGTTTGACTTGGAAAAATTCGTTATCAGTCAATAAATAATGCTTACAATTATTATTAACCATTTGAAAAATTCATTTCATTGTATCAGGTTGATCACCAGTCCATGTAAATTAAACAGATTTGTATCGTTTTACATTAGTCAGATATTTACACTTTTTGTTATTTATATACCGGTTGTTATCATACTGTGGTTTCATCAATTTTCAGTTGATCAATTTCGTGGAATTTTGTAAAACAGAAGTCAGTTTCATATAGCTTACATAATTTCGTGGACAAAAGTGCCTTTTACAAATGAATGTCATATTATGTAATTTAATGAACAGTTTTGAATTCTTGAAACAACGAAATTCACGAAAATGGTACTTTTTCAGAAAAATATTATTTATGTTCAGTAATCTTTTTAGTTACAAGTAATTATAATATCAAACATAAGATGCAAAGTAACCGTCTACTAATAGAATTCATGTGAAGATGCCTTTTAAGAAGAATATGGAGATAACCAACAGTAGTCAATATCAAAGTCCATAAAACAATACATAATAGTAGCAGAGCAAACACGGACCTCCAAAACATCAAAGGTGGGATCAGGTGCTATGGAGAAGTGAGCATTTTATGCAAAATGACCGGTCACACCCGCCGTGTGCTCTTTGTCATATATATATAATATAACGGAAAAAATCGTCGTTAATATATATGTATAAATATATATATATATACAGTTATATGAAAAAGTCACATTTGACTTAAATTATGAAAATTGTATTTAAAAACTGACAAGGTCATTGTATCGACCATAGAATTTTCGTAAACAATGATACATTAAGCGAGATTGATGATATTCTTGTTTCCTCAACATGAAATCAATAATTTACCTCATTTTAGAAATTGTTCATACGTAGAGCATGCTCTTGCGTATCGAATCAACTGATATAAATACACTCCATATGCAAAAAATGAAGGTATATTGCTACATAAGTAAGGGAAGTTGATGATAGAAAAGTTGAAGTCATCACGTTGATCATATAGCTTGGTTGTTAGATTACCATTAACGTCTTTTTAAAGTAAAATATTTAAGTATGAAACAGATGTGTTAGACTCTGTAGTATTTTTTATCTCAATCTCTCCAGGATATATCGTATCGACGTAGGAATGGAAATAACTATTGTTAATTGACAATACGTCGTCGAAATATCTAAAAAGAAAAAAAGGAAAGAAGATACTGGTTGAAATTAGAAATTTGTGTCGTAATATCATTAATATAATACCATTCTATTTATTTATTTAACAATGATTTAACAATGAAATTTTACTTACTAAAACTAGATGTACGAGGTCGATAAGTATTTGTTTTTATCTTCATCTTTACACAGAAAAAAAGGACACGTAAAATAAATTCCCTAAAGAAATTGCAATTATAACCAATATAAAACATTTAACAAAACACATACAAATACATTTTACATGATTCTGATCACTTACAAGTCAACGCAGTTGTAGTTAATACATGTATATGTAATATATTTTTATTCATTTCACATAAATCAAAGTACAAAGAGACATATGTATGAGGAGAAATTAAATTCGATGTTTATGTTAGATTGAAAAGACGCTGTGACATGAAATTTTCAAGTTCATTAGGGGTATATTGTGTTAGCAAGTTTTCAAACTGAACACAGTTACCACATCTGTCTTTTAGGAGATCAATCATTTCGATCAATACGATTACTTAAAAAAAAAATTCCGGGATTGATTCAATTTTGAGTGATTTCTTCCTCAGTGTTCTATGCAGTTACATTGCAGATACATAATTTGGATAATTTTCCCTTTTTTTAGAAAACATATTTTGATGAACTTCAATATTTCGTAGAAACAGGATAGGTCTGTAGTTAAAAATGTATGTATTTTTGTACATTTTTGAACAATGTAAATGATTCAAATTTTATTCAGTGTTTCTGCAATCAAATACATATTAAGAAAATTACCCGACAGATTACAACTTTAACAAATATCAAGTAGGCCTATATAACCATGACAAAAGAAAAGTACAATTTTAAAATCTATTTTTATAATTCTAGGTTTTGCTGATTTTCAAAATTCAAACTTCAACTATATATACCAAACAGCATGAAATATTACAATGCAAAGTACTATATACAAAAAGTAATCTGAAATTACGCTGAAGCGAAAAGAGTGCCTTTAAGTTAATACAAGTAGGTGAGTTACATGATCAGAACACAGATTCAATGGACTTGTTTGTGTTTATTTGTATTTTAACGTTCTTTTCGAGAATTTGCTCTCTCGTATATAGGGAGACTCCACCACTAGCCGATGAAGAGCTGCAAATGTTGTCTTATCTCGGCACTCAGGACCATTGAGCAGTTGGGATCTTTTTCTTGCCAGCATTCCGATACGGTATCATCCGAAGGATCGTTTTCAACCGTCAAAAATGGGATTTGGACCTTGACGTTAGGATTAATATTTTACTCTAGCACTGTGCCACTCGGGCGACAAAATGTACTCGTACGAAATAAATTGGTACTTCTGAAAAGCAGAAATACACGTAGCTGAAAATTTCTTAAAGGAACAGTCTTAAATCAAGATATATACATCCCAGTGATAGGTGAAAAAAACTTAAATGTACAAAATATATATTATCCGGGAGTTTTGATAATTCTTTTTGTATGTTAAGTTGAAATGTTTTTTTTCATCTTCATTTTTACATGTACATAAGCTAAATTGTCTATTATTCCTTAATGTTGGGATCAGATCTTGTTTGATAATTCTTTTTCTTCGTGTTTAGCATTGCCAGAAATTTTTTTGCCCAGCTTCACTTTTCCTTTGGAATTCACATCATCATATGACAAATGAACAACACTGTACGGTCGATCTTCTACCTTTTCGTTGGGATCAGGTGCCGCCATATGTTTGACACCACCTATTTCTTGCCTTAAAACTTTTTCTTCTGGCTTAGCATTGCTAGGAAATCTTGTACCTGGCTTCACTCTTTCTTTGGAATTCAAATTATGATATGACGACAAATGAACTACACTGTACGGTCGATCTTCTCCTTCCTTTACGTTGGGATCAGATGCAGCAATATGTTCGGCTTGATTTAATTCTGGCTTTAAAACGTTTTCTTCTGGTTTAGCATTGCTATGGAATCCTATGCCGGGCTTCACACTTTCTTTGGAATTCAAATCCTTATATGACGACAAATGAACAACACTGTACGGTCGATCTTCATCTTTCTTTACGTTGGGACCAGATGCAGCCATATATTTGGCTTGATTTAATTCTGCAGAGTTCTCCTCTATGCACTTTCTTTCTCTTTCTTTCCCATTATAAAATTCGTTTTCAGATACAGTGTGGTGTAAACTGGATAAATGTGGCTTCAATTGTTCGTTCTCTCTTGTTCGAAATCTCTTCAAACTTGGAGGTAATGTCAGAGATGTACAACTTTCATCATGAACGTCAACTTCTTTTTGCGATGATAGAACATCCAATTTTTTATCTTTGACTGTTATAACTTTTCTCTCATTATGTAACGACGGTGAAAAACTCGACTTCATTTTCAGATTGATTTGATCATATTCGGTTTCAAATGAAGATTTTTCGTGCAAATTCGTATTTCTCTTATGATTTGATTTTTCAGAGATCTTACAACATTTTGTATTTTTGGAAATTGTGTCCATGCATGATGCTGCACATGCACCGTCAATTTGAGAAAACCTTATCTCTGCATAGGTGTCATCATCTTGGCATTGATCTTCTGGATTGAGTGCAGAAAGTTCAAAGTGTCCTTCTTGCAGATCCAAGTTTCTACCTGTAAAAAATGCATACACATGTGGTCCTTTACACTGACCAATCATCTACTTAAATATGAAACCTTTATTATTCTAAAAAATACTAACTTTGCTTTACTTGAAGAAAAACAAAACAAGCTGGTAAACAAAGAAAATAATGCATAGAATTTCCAACAGAAAAACACATCTAAATAGGCACAATATATACAAATTTACATATGAAGCTTGAAAATCAGAAGGGACTGGTTAGATTGATTTGAAGGTTAAGAATTAATAATCATGAGGGCTTTCAATAAGCAATAAATGTTGTGTTAGATAGGATGACGTTGCTTGAAATCTACTTGAGATAAACAAAGACAACTCTGTCAAGCTAGTATATGCATCTGGAGAAATCCAGAAGTAAGTAAAAATATAACAAGGTTTTTGGAAAACATCAATCTAATATTTCTGCCAAAGAGTTAAATTAATCAACAGATTTAGAACTCAGAGAGTGTTTTTTATGTGCTATAATCTACTTAAAAATAAGGATAATAGAAAATTAGAGATATTTAGAAAGGCATCAGTTGCTTCAAAAATGCTATAACTTTATATGAACTATTTACCAATTCTAAGGAAAAAGAACGAAGTCAACAACCCTGCAACGTCTCAAACCAATTGCAAGTGGCTGAAAGCTTACAAATATATTGACCAATGCAAATAGAGTATGGTCGAAAATTAATCTAGTTTTTCATATATATACGTAATTGGCCAATGTTTCCTCACAGAGTTGTCCAGGGGCTCTTTCTTGTCCACAATAATGAAATAGAGGACCCGGCGAGTGTAGGCAGAGGATGCTTACTCCTCCATGTCACTTGGTCCCACATCTGATATTTTGGAGATTCGTATTTTCTCTTCTTTCAATTTGTATTGTTTAGTGGACTTGGAGCCTGAATACTATTCGTTATTTCCACATTTATTTCCATATCTGATTAATTCCTTATATAGAGTTTGTATTTTTTTATCATGACGTAAAACTTGACATCACATTAAAAGAGACATTATTGTTCAAGATTTTGAGTGTTTAAGCAAACAATAAGTCTACGTTAGAAATTAACCATATCCAAGCTAAGAACCTTGAAGTGAGACAATAACAAACCTGCTCCTGTGCTTGATGTCAAAATCCTTCCAATTCTTTTAGGATGTTTCATCTTGAATTTCGAGCTTAACAATAAAACAAAATACAATCTTGATTTCTGCTTTTAAGAAAATAGAAATAGATACAGAAGTACTTTTTCACAAAAATCATGAACATTACTGAGATGATAATGTTATAATGCGTAAAATGAATAAGTTCAGCAGCATATATTTATAGATTGCAAAAAATATTTGTAATCAAAGCTTAATGTTTTAAGAATTTAGTATGTATATACATGTATGTCCTTACAACTAAATTAAATTTAACATTTTATTGGTACATATATCAATCAAATATTTCAGCAAAGAACATTTTAGTTTCAAGTTTGTCTGAAAACATTTGCAAATTTTTATTGTATTGCATTTTGTACATGTAAAATTCAAAGTTTGGCGAAATTTTGAAAGTAAAAATTAATCCACTTTTCGCAAAATAAATCGACGTTTATCAATGTTTGAAAATCAAAGATGCAATAATTCAGATTGAGTTATTGGCTGATTATTCACTTATCATATCTACAGCCATACCTGTTTAAAATTGTAAATGAAAGAAGACACCCAATACAAAATTAGTGTTAATCCGAGTTTAAAAGGTTATTTCTATAGTCAGAACAGCTGATTTGACAGCTATCCAGGTATTCGTGTCATGTTCAACATATAGATCTTGACGTTTTGCTGAGTACAGACTGGAGATTTATTGGGTATCGTTTTATTAAAATTTATCCATTTAAAACAATGAAACGTGTTTTTAGTAGAAAGTTTGTTTTGAAAAGATTACAATGGCAATTATGCAAATTATTGAATACTCAGAAACAGTTGTGGGTAACCCACAAACCTTGAAAACGTCTATTTAAAATGCACTTTTAAAAAGTATTTAGATTTCAAAATTGATCTTTGAAAATTTTTTTAAAAAGAGATTAAAGTGAAATTATCAAATGAATATAGTTCTGATTTATTGCGCGCACTAAGAAATTGATTTATTTTACTATTAATGTTTTTTCGACAACCGTGACCAAATAAAAAACATCGCAGAATAAAGAGTAATACTCATAACGCATACTGTAACATTATGACAGGTAAAGGCTGGCTCCTTGCAAGGTGACCCACAAATATCCGAAATATTGCGACGGACACTTTTTAAAGTATCTAATTTTCACTAAGAGTTTTAATAAATATATATATTTTTAAACGTGTTGACTATTTGAAAAAGAATTCTTTATCTCAAAGTTTTTAAAATTGTTACTTGTTTAAATAATAGTGTTACCTGTAGTACATCCTGTAACATGATGACAGTTATAGGTGGGACACTCGCAGACAGACCGACACAGCCGTCCGTAATATCCTTTAGGACATTTGTCCTTACAGTTCCATCCAATAGATCCAGCTGGACATTCTAATTTTAAAGAAGGGTTAAGATCAAAGTCATATTTTCTGTGTAAAAACTTCGAATTTCTTTTTTTAAATACAAATTTCAATTTGTTATATTGTGTTGTTGTGTGGCCATTTCTGGTTTGCCTTTTTATTTGACAAACATTGTAAAATAAAACAATTTTTGGAGAAAATTATATAAAAATGTTATCTGCATAATCAGTCGGAAAATCTTAATACAGATGTATTTTTTTTTATTTTTGTATATTTTTTGATAAAATATATACGGCCATAAATTGGTCTACTGGTATATTAATCAATATTACACAAAATAAGTATACGTATCTTTTTTTGTCTATGCTGGTGTAAGTTATTTTATTTAATTTTATGTGATGACGAGGATATTAATTTGGCAAGCAATCTTGCCATAGTGTGTTTATACACATCATTATAGACTGGTCAACTTTATATTATAATGTATCATTCAAATATTTTAACATATTTATAACTTTACATTTTCGTTACAAAAATCAATTGTTTCAACAATGATTATTTGAGGAATAACCGTCAGATCTTTCATTCATATCAGGTAAGGTTTTCTTCAAATGTTATAACTTGTAACCAAATTCTTCGTGTTAATCATGCAATAAATTATATTTTAAACAAATATACATTTTCAGAATTGATATTATAATTTAGAAAGGTATTGATATTATTATTATTATTATTCAAAGTTGCTTCTATATTTTTCATCTTAAAGAATATTAAAAAAACATACACACCAGAGCATTCTTTAGTCTTTTCGTTTAGATACAGGTTGTAGCAGCACAGATGACCCTCTCTTCTTAAAAAAATAATATAATGTTTTAATAACAGAGAAAATCTGCGTAGTTTAAAAAAGAAAACGAAAAAAAAAAATCTTTTATAATCAAAGAATATTACCTACTGCAACCACCTGTTACACTCGCCATAGTTATAGAAATGTGTGAAATTTTTATGCATCCATTCATATTTAAAAAGTAAAGATAGAGAATTGATTGTTAACACTTAATGAACGGAAAACATTCTAAAACAAATGTGCCTCGTTCTAATTAGGGAAAATGCTAATTGCATTGTAAAGTGACAATAAAAATTTTCACAGAATACTTTCAGAATATCCTTAGTCTTCCATTTTGGCGTTTTTTAAAAATATATATATTTCTTATAAAATCACAATTTCTTTAGTGCAAAAAAAAAATTGTTGAAGGAACATATATAATACTGTGCTGAATTTTCTGTTCAAATTTTCCACTTGTAACACGAAGCAAAGACCCAAGATTTCTCATATTCAGAGAATTTCGTATATGCGCCCCTTTATTAGCAGACCTAGTTTTATATTCATATGAAGCATAATTTGTGAACAATCTTATGCGTGAAAAGAAGAAAGCACTTGCTGTGGCCTTCAAATCGACATTTAGATATATCGACGACGTATTGTCAATTAACAATGGTAATTTTCATTCCTATATCGATACGATATATCCTGGTGATCTTGAAAAGACAGTTAACACAAAGTCTGACAATCTGTTGCATATTTGCATATTATATTCGAAAAAAAGACGTTAATGGTAATTATAATCTACCAACCAAGCTCTATAATAAATGTAATGACTTTAACTTTTCTATCGTCAACTTCCCTTACTTATGCAGCAATATACCTTCATCACCTGCATACGGAGATTATGTATCTCAGTTGATTCGATACCAGGAGCATGATCTGGATATGAACAATTTCTAAAACGAGGTACATTATTGACAAACAAGTTGATGAAACAAAGTATAAGCTGTTCGTTTATAGTCATGATGGCCTATGGTCTATACAATGATCTTTTCAGCAAATACAGTTTATCATTGAGTTAAATGCTGACTGAGGTTTTTCATACTAATTATTATTCCATTAGTTATACACTGAATTGACGACGGATTTTTTCTTTTCTTTCTAGATCATGCATGAAAGGAGCACGCGGAGGATGTAACCGGTTGACAGGGGATGCTTACTCCTCCACGGCACCTGCAACTCCGATGTTTTGAGGTCCGTGTTTGCTCTGCTCCTTTTTTGTATTGTTTTATGGACGTTTGATCTTGAATACTGTTCGTTATTTCCATATGTTTTTATTGAAAAAGAAATTGCTTTAAATTCGCGTATCGACCGGGAATAATAATACCAAATACAGCCATACAGGTGATGATATATATATTGCTAATTCAAAAAAAAGTTGACAAAAGAAAAGCTAATGTCATCATGGTCATCTTAAGCTGATCACTTTGCCATCAGTGCCTTTCCAAAGTAAAATATTTAAGTATGAAAGAGATTAAACATGGATAATTTATTTGTCATTTAATCTTCTATTAAAATTCCAACTAGCGCAACGGTTAATTAGCACTACAAAAAGTAGCTGCAGATCTGTAGCGTTATTGTTTTATATATGGTCTTTATACGTATTGCAAAAAAGGTGCAAGCGCAATATTTGTTGCGCACTTTTAGAATTTCTCCACTTCCCAACATTGATCAATTAAACTACCTTTCTCTCCCTAATTTAGGCACATTAATCTGTATTTCCCAACCCTTTATATTCGTCTCTGCAAGTGATAAAGTCGCTGGATCAAAATTAGTTGTTAGATTGCTGAAAATGCACTTTAAGCAAGATTATTGCCTGTAGAGACAACTATTTTGCATGCATTACAGGATTGTCTAGAATTAGCATTGACCAATGTCAAAAAGAAACAAATATATGCGCCATAAATTGCACCTTTTTTGCATTACGGGATCTGTAGCGTTATGGTCAAAGACAAATATATAAAACCATAACGCTACAGATCTGCAGATATACAAAAAGGTACTTAACAAGCACTAAAATGATGTCAACTTGTCCTTTACCCGGACTATATCTAAAGAGGACACGAGCAGTGCTTAACAGTATCCACTTCTGCAAGTACTCTCACTATAACACTCCTCAATTCTCTCTAGTGCTTTCAAAGCACGAGTGTAACTGCAACAGTTTTCATTTTCAATATATTTCTTCCTTATTCCTTGATAATCTCTTTAATGCATCTGTATGATTTGAATGATTTTTCCTTGAAATGATTTTTTCAGAAAAAATTGAAACATGTAGAACCAAATTTTGACCATAAAACAGTTAAGTTATATTTACATGATTTAAATATACACGATTCATCCAGTAATCAGTTATTAAAAAAAATCAAACGTTTTTAGCAATTTTTAAAAATACAAAATATATCCAGAATACCGAAGCATATTAGTGCCACAGACTGCGCTTTTATCAAGTATTTAGCTTGTTTCAGATAAATGTGGACCTAGCAGCATCAAATCTATATCTAAAATAAAATAAATAACCCATTTATTATGTGCAAAAATTGGTCAAGAATTGACATACAATAGCCTCTTGAAAGAGGTCGGTTCACTTTATGCATAAAACGGCCCTATCGATATACCAATTTATTGACTAACACTTTATGTTTCATTTTAAACATCAAAATAAAGTAGAGACTTAGTACTTTCATTTCTTTCATTTCCTGTTACAAATTTTCCCCTTAAAATCCAGATCTTGAAATACAGACTTTATGGAATTCCAATTTTTTAAATTTTAATGTAAACAG